GCCACAGTTTCACAGTCTAATGATTAACTTCAAAGTTCCATAAACAGCCTGCTGGCGAGCTGTTTAAAAACCAGATCGCCCCTTTTTTCCAGCCGAGTTTTTCAGTTGACCAAGGCAGTCTGTCGGCCATGTTGGAATGATGAGACAGCGGTGAATGTTTGGCATTAAAAAGGAAGTGAGATATTAATGGAAAGTGGGGCAATATCGTCATAAAGTCTTCTATTAAATGTCAAAGAAGGGGGTTTCATGTATGCATACTATCCTGGTGCGTGGCTCACTCGTTCTAGGCATCGCAGAAACTGAAGAAGCAGCAAATAAGATAATATTTGTCACGAGTTGTGCAGTGTTCTTAAGGTGACATCACGATGCAGGAAGCTGCCTCTTTACAGTTCCAAATAATTTGAAGTATTAAATTTTTTATGAAGGTTGTAAAGATTTTGATTTGATACATAATAAAAATACAAGGTCTTAGCATTTTAGACAAACTATATTCCAGCTCACTTGAAATTTTAGCTTCTTGAATTTATAAGATACTCCGCCAATTTAATATTAAACAACTTGAAGGTTGTTGACAATTCGATGATTCTCTCTAAATGGGGTGGTTCTCAGAAAAGTTGACTGATTTACGAGTTAATTTTAAGGCACTTATTAGTAGCTCGAACTTTCATAACAAATGAAAAATGGATTTCTTTCGACGTGCAGTTCATGTTTATTTCTTGAGAACGACGTCGTTATTCGAAACTTATTATTCTAAATCTTTCATAACTTCCAAACAATTAACTGTATTTTTCCCTAATCACGTTTAAAGAAATATTACATCCCACATGTCCAGCCACAAAAAGAACTAAATTCCGCTTTAATCGTAAAAAAGCAGAGCGTTTCCTTCCAAACTTGTCACTGGAAAACATTTTACTGATTTTCTTCTTTTTAAATCTGCCATGTTCAATTGGTTTTCTTTCTCCCTCGAGGCCGAGACTGGGATCAACATCTACTGTTATTACGAACACGTAATGCCAGTGATTCGGTGATATCCCATCCATTCTGGCGGGAAATTTTCACTGCATCGCGGAGTGGAATTGATGATAATATTCATTTTGACTTTGGCCTACTTGAAGGAAAAGTTTCAACGGAATAAGAACCACAAGGCGAAGAAAAAACCGAATGTTTATGATGTTGATAAACACTAACTTTCTTTGTTTCAGCAGCAAAGCGAACAAGTTGACCAGAAGACATCTAATACCAACAAGTATTTTCTTCGCACAGTTTTGCATATAAAAGCCATCATTAGTTTATGTGAATATGCAACCTTGCAGTGAGAAACTACTTAAAATCGGACTTTTTCGCCACGGGCAATGACTCTGCTTTAACTCGCGGTTGTTACTCATGTGAAGTATGCGAATAAAGAAAAGTGAAGCATATTTTTGTTGACATAATGTTCCTCTCAAAATCCCATGTGCCGACCCCTCAAAGCCGTTGACTACATTTTTGTCATATCACTCAAAGTTCACTAGTGCTTCAAGGCACGTGTTGAGCAAATTTCAGGGTATTTATCTCGGAATAATGTGAGTAAAATGTAAAAAAAACACCTCAACAGGAAAAGGTTCATTTTGGCGACTATGTTCCATTTGCGTTAAGATCGTTTTCCTTTTCATTCCAAGCAAAGCACGTGCGCAGACAGCAAGGTAGATAAAACAGTTCGGATAAACTTTTGATTCCCAGATACTTATTTCTGTCTTTATTACTTTTTAAACTTTTAATATTTTTCTTTTGTCTTTTAAAGTATATGTTTATATGAAGAATGATTACACATTATATAGTAGCGGATATTTTGGGGGAAAATACCATTTTTAGCTTCCATGTCAATGCGGATGATTAGTTATTTGGGGACCCCAAAAAAGGCATGGCGAATCTTTTACGACTCACGCCGACATATCTTAGTTTGGAATTAGGGACGATAGTGCAAATTGCAGAAAAGTTATTTTAAATACGCCTTTGCAGTATAGGTTAGCTTTAGTTTTACAGCTCCTTTTGAGTGTTAAGAAGACTTAGTATGCTATACGATTTCAATATTGATATTTCACACTGAGTCTAGTTCAGCACTGGCAGAAGTAAATTAGTTTTTGAATCATAACGCGTTACTTTGCGCTTTGAAAATACACATTTTGATATCTATAATAAATATGCAGACATTTCTACCAATCGGGATTGTGAGCTTTGCCATAAAATGGTGGTGATTTGATGTCTTCCTCCGAGACACTAGCATACAGTCTGCCTGTGTCAAGGGCGATTAGTTCCTTGGGTGCGGGTCCAGCACCACCGACACTAAGTCGGTTCAGTTCAACTGTCTCTTCGGTGAAAACTCCCCCTTGTTCATCCGCCAGCGACACGGTGGCGTTGATGAGAATCCGCGGTGACATGGTGCGGGGGTTGTGGGCCTTCAGCGGTGGCAGGGAATCCCCAGGTTCCTTCAGGTGGCCGGGTAAGGGAGGCACAGGATGGGGACCGGAATCCTCTGGGGGATGGGGTAAAGTAGGAGTGCTACTGGTTATCCTGATGGCTACTATCTCCTGATTTAGAGCATCGACCGATGAGGAGCGGACTCTACCTTGCTCGTCCGGGTTATCATCCTGTGGCGACACGGGACGGGCGTCGTCCTTATGGACCAGGCAGGAGGCAAGCTTCTGGAATCTCGGATCCTCGGCGCTCCTTGCAGTTCCCGTCGAGGCGAGGTTACTGTCGGATTTGAAAGGTCTCAGACCGCTCTTAGCGTGAGCCGAGGGAGTCAGGTAACTCACCGATCCCTGGACCTTAGCGAGTTCGGCTGGGGTTCGAGCTCGTCTGGCAGGAGTAAGTCCCCTCTCCCAAGCCCGATGTTTGGACGAGCTCGGCGCAGTTGGTGAGGTAGGGGACGTGGGTGTAGCGGGGGAACTGTCACTCAGATCAGGATTGGATCGTGGCTTCTTGCCTTCCTTGTAAGGATAGACGGTTATGGCTGGTGTACCATAGCTGGATGTCGAATTCCCGGCAGCTCCAGGGAGGTTTGACGTGGACCGAGATCGGAGGTGAAGAATCGCTGGGCTGAGTCCAGGACCAGCTGACCTGACTCGTAGACTGGGCCCGTCATCAGGAATAGCAAGAGCGTCGCTGGCTGGTCTACGGGTTCGAGAAGGGCTAGCACTAGAGTAAGCCTTGCGATTGTTGACAGGTGAGTTGGGTGTGCTGCGCACCCGTCGGATGTTCTGAGGATTGGCTTCGTGTGGAGGGATGGGCGGCAGCAGTCGGTTGCCCCCGCTGCTTGAATCGGCTTTCCTCCCCACTGACGTATCGTCGAAGACCCGGTGTTTGCGGATGTCCCGGCACATCTGCCGCATGGCTTTCTCCTCTCTTTCCCGCATCTTCATGTGGGCTTTGGATTCCCGGTCCAGCCGGTCCAGTTTCAGGGCCAGTTTGCGGTCGCCCACGCCCGCCTTCTCGAGCACCAGGTCCTCTTTGCTGGCCTGGGGTTTGCTACCGGGGTAGCACGAGGTCTTCATGACGCCGCCGTGCCCCCCACCACCACCACCAGCGAGGTGCGCGGGCTGGAACGACGGGGCGCCCGGCGAACCCTCCAGTAATTGTCGGTGGCTCTGAGGGCTGTTGGTCTTAAGTGGCATAATGACAGCAGCGTGGGTTCGTATCGCACGCACTCACTCCATTGTGGAGCGTGACTGCGATTACATTATCGAATCAGTTCAACGCATAGACGTCTAATCAGATGTCGATCGCGCTGCACTGAAGTGGTTGTAATAATTCCAAGCACTTATCCTCGACATGACACTGCACAAAAACAAAACACCGCACACATCCCACCAGGAGACGAGCTCGTCGAGACGCATACCCCCACAGTCCGGTAGGCCTAATTATATTCCTTCTGTCCCGGTCCTGCAGAATCCGTGGATGAAATCACGAGGGGCTCCTGTCCTCGTATTATCTTCTCCTTGGATCCATCTGTCGCTGCGTCATCATTCTCTTCGGAAAAAGCCTCCAATCTCTCCCCAGGCGGCCACTCTGGAGAACCGACTGCTTCCATACATTACGGCTGTTCTCACCGCACCACACGGCACCATTATTGCATTAGCATACAGTTATAGCCGAGTAAGCGCCGTACAACGCGCCAGCGATCGTATCACCAATGTTTGGCACAGACACGAACAGCCTTCAGTGTTGCGATTTGAATAATAATTCGTGATATTCACACTTTTGGCATGAAGTCGTTTCCACAATTCTCCAGAAATGCCATTCAGAACAAATGAACCCTGCACTGAGACATGCTGTTGCATAGGAACCGTCGAACAATCCGGTAAATAAACGGCTACATTATAATTGTCAAGATACGTATCGCTACTGAATTTCGCTGCGAAAGAGTAACTTCTGAGCTCCAAGCACACGAACTACGCATAGTCTTACCACCTATTAAATTCTATCGCGAGTGTCTTTCCCAATTCCATGAGCTTGAGTCATTAGATTATTATCCTTGCAGACTCCTGCCTTTACATATTGTAAATCTTGGGTAAATCATCGAAATAACACAGGAGCACCGTCTACGGATCAGCGCACGACCGAAACTGATGTTTATCCATTATTAAGCGAGCACGAGTAATACAGCCTTCCCCTCCTCAATTGTCAAAATAATCCTTGCCTCGTTATTCCCTTTAAAAAGGGTCGGTGAGAAAAATCGAACGAAAAGTTAACATCTCATACCCCTGGCAACCAGCGACGTCTCCAGAGAGGGCGCTATAATACAAGTACGGTCAAATCAGGCCGAACTCGCTGCAGAAGTCACTTAAGTGCTTGCTAGTTAAAACCACTGATTTTCACCTATGAGCGCTCTGAAACCTAAACAGTGTCTCCTGCAAGTGCCGAATTAACGATTCATTTTGGCCTGCGCTGTTTTTCAAAACGGGCGTTTTTTGTTTTTGTTTTGCATTGTTTGGTTTTAGGTGAAATTTATCGTTGACTTCATCATTGATGGATGCTTTTCAGAAAACTAAATTTGGTACACGTTGCGCTTATCTTGTTTTCTTATCAGAGAAGGGGTATATTCGTGAATCACACCAGCTACATACATCAATTGCTAGTGAATGCAAAATCGATGTAGGCCTCAAAGTTGTATACTCTTCACTATTGCAAGTACAGCCAAGGGACCAACAAAAAAGGACCATGCATGCCAAAAGTAGGCCTGTATGGCCTATTAATGCCGCCACCCAAACGTTACTTTTAGTCGACAATGTGCAGAGCAAGGTACAACGGTGCTAAGACAGGACTGAATGTGAAATTTTAAGTTAACATTCCTTGTTGCTGCTTTTGTTGTCAATGTCCCCAATGTTTTTGGCTGCCGTCGAAGATTATTATTAGAGATTTTTTCGCAAATAATTGGACAATCTGTCTTTCAGAAAAGTCAAACGAACAAGCCGAAAACTAAAAATGGGAAAAATTAATGCCAGTTACCGTGGCAACGTTCCTCCCCCTCTTGCTTATCGGCTGATTATGAACGTAATTCTGTCGCACAAATGTAAATAAAAAGGCAACCTTTACCGCTAAGGTTACTCATTCACCTGAATATTTCCAGACCTTTCACTGTTGAGTGGAGGTTATCTAACAGAAAGGCTCTCATTGTGTTGTTGACCTTGTTGACACGGCTGAGCCGAGAACCGTAGCCGCATAAAACCCTGAGTACCAGGAAAATCTAATACAGGAAAGGTTAACACAGGTTTCATTCAAGTGTGGTTAGCCACGTGGTTGCATCTACGCTCGTTGAAGTTGCTGATTCCCTGATTCGAACCATTTTAACTGCCAGACAGACTGGGTGGGTTGATCAGTGTTTGAACCTCGTGTCTCTTCAAGCTTCTCGCACGTGGCTGAGGTAAGTGTTCTCGTGTTCCGTGCCCTCCCGGCAATTTGAGACCCGTGTGTGCGTAAAAATAGGCCTTGGTTCGTCCATGGAGTCGGGCATGGTTGTGACAGCCTGACAGGGAATTCATTGTTACCATACATGTACATGTAATATGTGTCTAGTCGGTCAAATCTTCTGACATAAGTCTTCTTTGTCCTGTCTGAAGAACAAAAAAAAGAAACGTCTTTTGTGTGTCGCTGTTGCTTGGTATGTGTTGCAGTTGACATTGATGGGCAATCTCTGTTCCTTGCTCTCTGTGGTTCAGTTCAGCTCGACTTCCGTGGCTTCTCATGCAAGAATCCAATCTGTAAGGTTGTCATGCATGTAAATGTATATGCCCGTGCAATATTTCTTCCTCTGTTCATGTAAATAAAAATTTCTGCAATTAGTGTTTCTCTCCAAGTTGTTTATAAATATTTAGATAAGATTAACAAATGTGAACTGAAGGGGCATAATGTTGAATCACCGTCTAATTTTAGAATTAGAGCGTTCAGTGTACAAGTTGTTCGGTGCGGTCTTCTTGTAGAAAGAATCTTCTCAGTGTTCAATCATGAGTGAATATTGTAAAATCTACATCAAGAGGTGTGACTTAATGTGCTACATCCTCGATCGGTCACTTGGAAATTGGAATTCTTATCTCATAAGAGTTTTCCATTTGTCCCATCTTGGTTATTGAATGATGACGTAAGACAGGCCCATCTTCACTCTTTTCTCACAACTCTGTGTGCTGAATATGACATCAAAAACTGTTATACAGCCCAACTTGTTCAATCTCCTATCTCCATCATAATCTTCCACTATATATATTTGTTGTTCCCCTCCCAAGGACAAAATTTTCCAGAATCTGGTCGTTTCAAATGAAAACAGTTTAGGAAACTTCAGTACATGCACCAAAAAAAGTGCCATTCAATTAAGTCACCCACATAGACCTTGGATTGCAGTCCAAGCCTTGGTAACAGTGTCAATTTACAGCAGGCCCTTGGAGATGTTGAGTGGCAGCAAATGTACACTGGTAATGACCTTTGACTCTGGTTTCTTGTAGTATGCAGTTCCCAGTTCGCCCTAACACCTGTCTCTTTGTGTGAGCTTTGTGTGTGGGCAGTCATCAACATCCAGCCCGAGAGCTAAGTGTAAGCATAGAGCAAGGGCAAGAGGGTACATGACAACATGGGATTCAAGACAGTAATCGGCATTGTTTTTGGTGAGAACTTCCCTCATAAACTGATAAATATGTAGTTAAAAGCTTGAGAAATATCAAACTCTGGTTTTTTAAATGTTCAGCATGTCTGAGTGGGTATGTAATGCCTTTCAAGGCTGCTATTTCACCTGTTGATAACCTCATTAATCTCTTGTGTAAGCCACTGGCCTTGTAAAGTGGTATTGTATGTACATGTAGTTCATCTGTTTTTCCCAATCTTGTTGTTGGTTGCTTTCCTGGGTCCTTACAGAACTCATGAGATTCTTGATAAATTATTCAATTACCTTCAGTGTGTCAAGAAGGAAAAAAAAATCAGTGAATGAGACGTTAATCATTTAGCCTCAGTGTTCTGCCTGACTCAGTGTTTCTTTCACTGTGGTTACTTTCATCTTCAAAATGTTGTCTTTTTTTTACATCAGAAAAGCAGGAACTTGTTCACTGAATGCAGTTAAAGATGACTAACTCATGATTCAGTGCGGCGTGACCAAAACTACCAGACAGCTGCATTCAACTCATGATGATTAACTTTGGAGCAAATTAAATTAGGATTTTCTGGAAAATAACCAATGGCTGTTTACAGAACACAGATTCTTATAAGTTATATTGTAATGGAGATACTACCAATCAGTGTATGTAGCTTATCAATTATTTCATATCATTTGGAATCAATAAAACATCTCCTGGAAGGCTTTTGTATCAGATGCACCTGTTCTCTTAGTGCTAGATGTCATGATAAGTGGCCTCAAGGAACGACATGTACTTGACTTTTACCCTGTTTTGATAATTGCAGCTCAGAAAAAAACAGCAGTATTCTATGGCCTCACATTGAATGTATAGAAAAGGGCCCAAAAGCAACAACAATGAGAATAAGAAAAGATTTTGAAATCTCCCCCCCCAAAAAAATGTTGGCAATACACTGATGGCTTATTCCATTGATAATTTCTCTGACTTTGCCGTAAGGTGCATTATAATTACTGGTACTAGCAGAAAGATAAACATAAGACAGGAAACAGTATTTACCCTTGATATAAATTAAATTCCCCTTGTTTCAAATACCTGCAAGTATCCATCATGTCTTTGTTATATTCTGTAATGTTCTTCATCTATCTTTTGTTTCTCTATAGTCTTGTCAGTTTGATTATCAAACTTTGATAAGAGCTTTTCAATTCAATTCAAATCAACATTTATTTATGTATTGACACCGTTGATGAAGGAGTTACATATGTGGTAATGACACGCTATACAAAGATAAGTTAGACAAAACAGTATTTTACATGGAAATTTAAGCTTTGAGATTCTGTTTGTTTGAAAGCTAATTTTTTTTTAAATTTTATGCCATTACTTTATGCATAAATTATGCTAGGAAAATGTTATCATGATTAAGCCTTAAAAGTGTAAGGCCTTTGTTGCAAATGTTGTTGAACTACAAAGATGCATATATTTATTTTGCACTACTCAACTAAGTGTCAGAGGTCATTCAGTCGTATATTTTCCCTTTTGCTTGCTTGTAGTTGCAGTCATTGTAACTGTGCTGGTAGGCATTCCAAAATCTCCTAGAACAATTCCACCTGCTAACCCTGATGATCCTGAACGTCTCAGAGAGGGTGTTGTCAAGAAAGTTCTCATTATTGGTAAGCACTTACAACAACAATCTCACAGTATTGCCTAGCTCAGAACTTTTGATAAGCACAGGAAATATTTGCTCAGCAAAAATAGTTTACCAGCCAACAAGTTGTGGTATATGAGTTGGTCTGTGACGAATCTTCTGCTGTCTTGCACTCATGGCATATTTTGTTGAGCAAGATTTTCTCCTGAGCAGCTTCATCAACTTGAGTCCTGGGTCTAATTTCATTGCTCTACTCATGGTTAGCAAAAAATTTCCACCTATAGCACTGTACTTAATAGACAGTTTGGTTTGCATAGGCCTATTTCACATAAGCAAGTAACTTTGGGTTGTTCACTTGTGTAAATCCCACACCTAAGGATTTTGTGCTTTGCTTAGCGTGTAACTTTTGTGCTAGAGCTGTAAGCAGAATTTGATTGCAAGTGTAAAAATCCATACTTGAGACAGTGGTGAAATGGGGTCCTGTTGGGGCGGTTCGTCACCATTGGCCCCACCCATGCCACGCCCATGCCATTATTATTCCTAGTCGGTTACAGGGGTTCTTTCAGTGAGAGGCATTTAAGAGATTTAACAAAGACTAGTTTTACATTTGGAAGAAGTGTTTGATTCAAACTACGCCAAACCTGCCATACTCCAACAGCAGGTTTTGTGAGGTTTTGGCAGGTTTGGTACCGTACATGATGAACCTGTTAAATTTTGTGAGACTTGGGATGAAAGGCCCAGGGAGATGGTGTTGGAT